GAACTGGTCTAGAAACAGGTTTGCCTCCCTTCTCACCCTTGCCTATTTAAAACAAAATTAAGGATTTTGGAAGTTCAGTGGGGAAATATCTGATCTAATCAGGATAAAATAAAGACAAGATGGAAACAACATACTGAAAAATTATAGAGAAGTCTTCTTCAAAGCAGAATGTTTTGACAAAGAAACTGCAATTTTAGAAAGTGGAGTATAAAGTGTTCTCAAAGCCACCTTGGATCCTTTTTTAAAGAGAAAGGTGGCATATATTGTAAATATTATAAATAAATAACTTAGAAGAAACACATCACCAGGAATAGATGGTCAGTCAAGCTACTGGGACTTAATCTATCAGAAATCCTAACAAGAATATGCTAACAAATAGAGAGAATGTGCTAACAAATACAGAAAATGAAAGAAAACAAAACATAGCCCACAGATAAGGAATATTCAATATACATTCCAATCTCAGAAATTGCAGGTAAATATAAGACCATTACATTAATTACCCAAGTAAGCAAAATGATGCTTAGTATTTAACAACAACTACATTTATCATATGCTTCTGGATAGCTCAATGATGAAGGCTGTGTGTTAGATTTTCCACTGTATCTCCTTGACAGGGTCTGGACTTGATGATCCATAGGGTCCCTTCCAGCAGTTTTAAGATTAAGATTACAATTAAGATATGTGGAGCAGAAAATGGCAGATATTTGGAGCACATTCAGAAAAGGAAGAGGCAATAGAGATCATACACTTTGGCTGCTGGAGCATACCAATTTTGGAAGAAAATCAGCTGTGCTTTATAAATTAGACCAAAGTATTTAAATGTAGGGTTCAGAAAAAGCTATCAATAATTCTTTTTTTTTAAAAAGATTGTATCACAACAGTTGATTTTCCTGAAGACTTACTGGATAAACACAAGGGACAGAATATGGAGAAACAGAAGGCCAAACATGTGAATAACATGCAAGGATATATTTTATCTGCCTGTCTGCTCAATTTATACACAGAACATATGGCACTAGAAGCTGGATTTGATTTGGAGGAAGTAAGGTTGAAGATTAGTGGAAGAAACATCAGTAATTTGGGATATTATTGGTAGAAATTAGCAATACATAGAAACAACTGGCGATCAAGGTTCAAGAAGAAAATGCAGAAGCAGGATTATGATTGAATGTTATGAAGTTTAAAAAAATCATGACTACAAAATCATGGCTTCATTTTAATGTTGATAATAAAGAAATTAAAATGGTTAAAGATCTTCTATTATACTTGAATTCAATTTGAATGGAGACTGCAGCCAGGAAAGAGCAGCCAGGAACACTGACATCTGGAAGGGCAGCCATGATGAACTAGAAAAGATATTCATGTGTAAGGGTGTGTCTCTTGACAGCACAGGCAAGATCATATGGTAGTACTGTTGGCTGTGTGCCAATGTTAAATCAGAATAGTGAAGGAAGTTGATGGGGGATATGTAACGTTGAAGAGCTTTACAGACACTGTGGACCACCAGGAAGAACAAGTAAATGACTTCTAGATCAAATGAAGCCTGAATTTTCCCCAGAAAGACAAATAAATTAGTTTTTTAGTACAATGAATAGGTTTAGATAAAACAGGTTTCAGCTGAAGCTTGAACTCTTCCTAGAGATGAAAATGGTTGAATGGAGGCTTTCATACTTATCATGAGATGACAAGACTCTCCAGCCAAGACCTCCATGCTCAGGAGCATGGAAGGCAGTAGGCAAAGGGGACCGATCCTGAGTTGGGTTCACTCCATAAGGGGAGCGGCATCGCCTTTCTTCTACAAGACCTGAGTAGGCTGTTAAAGGCAGGACCTTTGGAGACAATGAATACATAAGGTCAAAAATGAGTTGACAGCACATAGCAAACCTTGTCTATTCTGCCCAGTTGACCCCCCCTCCTTCTTTTCCCTCTGGCAACAGGTGAAGACCATTCTTTTAGGCAGGCTTGTAACACCTGATTAGGAAGTGATGAGGTTGAGTGCTGCATATTATTTTAAGTAGGTTTTAATTTGCCTTTAAGGCATTTCTAAGGAGTTTTAACTCACTAGATTTAATTTAATGTAATGCCTTACTGTGTTTTTCACTGGTTTCTCTTCTAACAATTTGTGACCCACTATGGGCTCCACGATTGGGAGAAAAGTAACATAAAAATAAGATAAGATAAAGGTGGTTCTTTTATATATAGTCTGGAAGGGCTACAGTCGTGATGATCTTCTGTTAAAACTGGGTTACTGCTAGCACGTTACTGGGTATCCATAGGCACTCTGGCTTTCTTGTGCTTTGTTTGCAAACCTAGAGGTGATTATCAAGGGATCATTCCTGTACTATGCAATGGATCAGTCCTTTAACAACGCAGTTTGCCCACATGCACTGTCAGAAATATATGTTAAAGCTTTAAAAAACAAAAAACAAACAAAGGACACCTCTGTCAGTCTTACTGATGCCTTTTGTCTGCTCCGTTGGCTTACACTGAAAGAGCTCTGTGGGCCCCATCAAAAATATTTTCCAATCTTTTTAACACATTAGGGAACCTCATTAGTGTCTCAACCTCCAGTGAAATGGTCCACTTCTAATTGTCTTCCTTCCCCTTGAGGCTAATACAAGCCAGTGAATGGCTTATTTTCTCTGAACGATCCCCTGGGATCACATCCTGAACAGGGTGGTGTATAGCAGCCTGGCAGCCCTTCGACTTCTCCTGGCGGTCCTTTCCCCCACATCCTCTCGTTACCGTGGTTAGGATGCTTTATCACAACTGCAGCAGCACTTGTTGTTCCTGCTGAAATGGTTGCGTTGTAAACTATCTAAATGACTGCCTTTGCTGTTTTTCACACCATTTCAAAATGAAGCCGTACTCTTCTGAAGGCTGATCTAAAAAAAATTCCACCTATCCTCTATTTTAAATACTTTTTCAGGTCTTGAGATTTAGGGGTGCACAGGAATTTTATCTGCTCTGTATCTTTAAGCAAACTGACCACATATCTTTTGGGCTCGAGGAATCACAAGACCAGAACACACTTTTCCTGCATTTCCAACATTTTCTCCACGTTTTGCATTGCAGCTCAAAAACCAGATCGATGAATGCATGAATTAGGGGGATGAGGGGAAATTGCAACCTAGAAAACAAATGGATGTTTGAAAACAATCAAGCAGTCAAAAGAATCATATAGCCACAGGAGACAGTTAAATAACAAGGATCAAGGCATACATGACACTACAACACTTATAAACCAATATTAACTGTACAATACAATTGCTCAGTTCAATTTTTAATGTTACTCCAACCCACTCTAAATCTTAAAAGTGGTCAAGGATAGATATAAGCACACTTTATATCTATATACCTGTGTGTATATAATTGCATTAACCAGGAACAGAGCTGAATAGGCCATTGTGTTTGTGTGTGTGTTTGGGGTAGATGTGTCTGAAATCCTGCAGTAAGTTAAAAGAAATTGCCATAGAAATACTCAAAACCTTTTGTGAGACTAACAAAAAGGTTTCCAAGAAATCTGCAGGAAAAAGAAAGCCAATGTTATTGTCTTATTTGCTTGGAAATATGAAACAAGCCACGATTCACACCCCTATTCTACCCACCAGCTGAAATCCACTCGCTACAACTAGAATAGGCCCATTGACGCAGTGGGCCTTTGGTGAGTCAATTCCTCAGTAAGTTCCATTGATTCAATGGACCTACTCTAGCTGCTACTTAGTACTGGTTTTCAACCTGTGTGTACACTAAGAATGTGAATCCTGGATTCTTTCATGTTTCCAAGCAAATAAAATAGACTTTCTTTTTCCTGCTGATTTGTGGGGAAACGTTTTTGGCAGTCTCAGAAAGATTATGAGCATTTTTGCCACCGTTTTTTTCCCTCACATTTCTTTTTGAAAAACATGTAATTTTTTGGACTGCATTCCAGCATAAGCTAGTCAATGGCGTAGCGCTGAGTGGATCCTTTGTATCTTTCTATTCAATCCACCTGTCCCGTTGAGCTTTCAGTATGTATCTGTGGAAGGAAAACACACTGATTTTGCACAAAGGCCAGATAAATGTGCAGATAAGAGTGCTTCTTTGACCCGTTCAGACGATGATGGCGGGAATTCTTGCTGGGACTGGAGAATTTTCAACAGGCCATCTTGCAGTGTTGAGACCGTCAGTCTGATCAAGAAATGAGGCTATTTATTTATTCTATTCTATTTTTTAAAAAAAACATTTAGATTGTGCCTTTATTCTCAAGAGGATCCGAGGTGGTTGTTGAGATTTCCTTGTAATATTTTAAAAATCAATATAACTATTTTTATTTTTGAAATGTTTATATGCCTTGTGCCGCACATATCAAGACCAGATGTCTGTAAAATTTCTGACATTTTCCACTACCACTCACCGCCTTTAAAAAAAAAAGAAAATGAATTGAATTTGTGAAATAAATTGACAAGCAAACTCCTATGCAGCAAGGAAGGACAGACATCCATTATTCCTAGCTCACTGCTATTTTCTTTTGAAATCTCTCGGTCTAGGGATGCCTCCCCTCCTATCCTGCCCAGCCTTTGACTGCCACAAAGCTAAGTAGCTGGAGTCCAGGGCATTGAATGCCAGCATGTCATGGAGGTTGGTTGATGTGTGTCTATTTAGTCTCAGCATAGGCCAAAATGCCATCATTAATTCATTACCCAGCTGCCTGTCAAATAAATTGGCAATTACACCCACCGCCAGAGCCTGGAATTTCAGTAAATAGCATGTTACTGTCGGTGGAGCTGTTGAGAAATGTAAAGGTGGGGGAGGAATTAAGCGACAACAGTGTGTTTGTTTCGCTAGTGGATGACAAGGGGCAGGCCCCTTCGATGCAGCCTTGTGGGAATAGAAAACTTTTCTTAAAAGAACCAGTAATGAAGGATGTGGATTCGAACATGTAAAAGCAACAACAACCAGTCAAGAGAAAGAGAGATCTCTGATTTTTTTTGTTCCTGTGTTTTGTTTTTTTCCAGACTTCAGCCCCATCCAGCTTGGGAACAGGCTACTTTGTAAGTAGATCTTGACTTTCTAAATGCATGTTTTGGAATGGTGCAGAAGATGATATTAGTCAAGTTGTGGAATTATGAGACAAATGTTAAGCTGCTGGGTTTGTATAGTGTAATGACGCCCGGGAAAGGATGGCTCTCCAGCAACTTTTCGGCAACCCAGAATCCAGATAGCAATTGTGAATCCCACCTCTTGTATCTCCCTCCCTCTTCTGTCAAGGTGTGCCTTCCTTTCCAAGTTCCCTCAGGTACCCGGTCAACGGGGAAACCCCTTCCTTCCTTGTTTCCCCAGGTGACACCATGTAATCATCCTACCCCCGTTCTTCTTGCCCGAGATGATTCTAACCAGTCTGCTCATAGCTTGCCTGCTGTCCAGCCTGTTGTCTTGATTCTTGTCCTTAAAACAATAGAAATTCCTCTCTTCTTTAGATTATTGAAGGCAGGATAAAAGAAAGATCTTCTGTACACTTGGTGAGCCAGTATTGGATTGTTCAGGCATTTCTTGGTATTATTGAGACTTGTATTAACATGGTCTACTCTGAGTGGCTCGACAGTCCCAGCTTCGTTAGAGATGATTCCTCCAGGTTATATAGTGGTTTTATGTGTGCAAGTACTCAAAATCACTTTAGAGCTGGATGCAAGCATAGATCTGCAGAAAGGAGGCTACATTGACTACCTCCCATAATGGTTCAGGTGCTCAGTTTCCTCCATCTTCCTACCATTCTTTTGAGCACACAAGCGGTATTGTCCCTTGCTTCAGGATTGCATGCATATAAAATCTGTGATTGTAAAATTCTGCTCCACGTACAGTATATCTATGTTGCGATAGCTGTCCCTGGTCACATGGTTCTTTCTGTGCCCCTCGTTTTAGAAAAGCGGAAATAATCAACAGCGCCACATTGTGGATGTTGATACATACATGCACAGTTTCATTTGTTGTGTGTCACTTGCATTAATAACTACTGGGAGATCGTGGGTTTTTTGTGTAATTTTTTCACTTTGGGTCTTCATAAATGCCCGCGTTTAAAAGAGCATGACTGAGAGAGAAATGTTCCTGCACAGAAAGAAGAGAAATGAAATGACTCGTATGGGAAGTTTTCTTGTGTGTCACTCCTTGTTATTCCTTTTTCAAAACGTGGTTCTGGGGTTGCTATGAGTGAGGCAAGCTCTCATTGTATGATGACGGCAGAAGTCCAATTTTTCCTTTCCACATGATTTGCGTAATAATTTTAAAGCACCTCTAAGAGGTATTTCTAAGGGTAAAGTTTGAGATTTGAAACGTAAGAACAAATGATTCTGGACAGAATCCTTTTCAACTTTACCTACAGATGTTGCCACTGAATCACACCCACTATCCTCCTGCCCTGCTGAATGTTTTGGTAAGAGTCTTGGCTTCTGGCCTGAATACGCTCACTCCACCTACCGTTGGCCTGTTTAACTGTGACCCTGTTCTGCTTTTCCAGTGGGGAAAATTTAAATGTACGCAAGCAAGTGGTTCTTATATTGGTTAGCCATCCAGAAACGAAAGGAATGGTTAGCACTAAGGGACATCCCTGATTGTCCTCATGGTTTTTCTAAACTGATCTCTTAGGGATGTGGGATCACTAGGACAGGGGAAAGAGCTGTGCAAAGCTTCAGTATGCTAGAATTAGTTTTCTTATCACAGAATATCAGTTCGCTGACATGAAACGGCTAAAAGAATTGACATTCATCTCCAAATAGTTGACTTGTTGAGGGAGATCGTTAATTTTTGCCATTTTTTATTCATTCTAATTTTTGTCTCCCAAATATTATCCTACCCAAAGTAATTAATTAAAATAATGTGAAACATTAAGCAATACTCAAAAGAAGAAGAAGCCTGCACTGCTGCCATTTAATAATTAAAATTTTTAATACTTACATTTATTGATTTTTAACCATGATGATCACATCAATGCCAACAACATATATGAACACATATGCAACAGTTCTATAAAAAAACCTGTGTATCAGATCTAAAGAAGAAAAGGATTTAAACAGCAAAGAACCCCAAACAAAAAACATCCCATCATCCTCAAACTTTTCTTTTAAAAATCAAAATATATCTTTATATTAAAAGATAACAATAAATAGTCAAAGAGATTAACAGTAAGCTGGAGACTGATAAACAAATAAGTTATGGAACACCTAATTACTTTGCGAGAATTTGTATCTCCAGGGCCACATGAATTGCATCCAAGAGTATTGAAGGAAATTGCTGAAAAACAGTGAGAACCAGAGTCTATTATTTTCTTGAAACTATGGAGGACGGGAAAAGTGCCAGATGATTGGAGGAAGACTAATGTTGTCCTTATCTTCAAAAAAGGAGGGAAGGGGGAACTACAGACCAGTCAGCCTGACATTAATCCTAGGGAAAATTCTGGAGCAGATTATAAAGCAGTCACTCTACAGCACCTTGGGAAAAAAACCAGTAATAACTAGAAGCCAACAGAAATTTGTCAAAAACAAATCTTGCCAGACTAATTTTATCTTGTTTTTCTATTGGGTAGTCTCGCTGAGAGACGTTGGGAGTGTTGTGGTCCTAATACATCTTCAGTTCAGCAAAGCTTTGGACAAAGTACCCCATCCTGTTCTGATTAGCAAGCTAACTAGATGTCGTCTAGATAGAGCAACGGTTGGGTTGAGACACCGTTGGCTACAGAATCATACTCAAAGAATGCTTCTCAATGGCTCTTTCTCAAACAAGGAAGAGATAAAAAGCAGGATACTAAAGACCTCCACCCAGGGCCCAGTGCTCGTCAGCATTTTTGTTAATGACTTGGATGAGGTGATGCAGGGAATGCTTATCCAGTATGTGTGGGTGACACAAAATTTGGGTGGAATACCTAATACCCTAGGAGACAGCAACAAAATTGAAAAATAGATTGATGGGCTTGAACAGCAAAATGAAATTTAACAGAGATAAGTTCAAAATTGTACTCATAGAAAAAAGAAACTAAATGTACAGTTACAAGAGAGCCAACAGAAATTTGTCAAAAACAAATCTTGCCAGACCAATTTTATCTTGTTTTTCTATTGGGTAGTCTCGCTGAGAGACATTGGGAGTGTTGTGGTCCTAATACATCTTCAGTTCAGCAAAGCTTTGGGCAAAGTACCCCATCCTGTTCTGATTAGCAAGCTAACTAGATGTCGTCTAGATAGAGCAACGGTTGGGTTGAGACACCGTTGGCTACAGAATCATACTCAAAGAATGCTTCTCAATGGCTCTTTCTCAAACAAGGAAGAGGTAAAAAGCAGGATACTAAAGACCTCCACCCAGGGCCCAGTGCTCGTCAGCATTTTTGTTAATGACTTGGATGAGGTGATGCAGGAAATGCTTATCCAGTATGTGTGGATGACAAGAAAAGAGAAAAGAAACTAAATGTACAGTTACAAGAAGGGGGGGTACTTGGCTCAGCAAGGCAACATACAAGAAGAGTCTTTGGAAGTGCCGTATTACAAGCTGAGTATGAGCCAACAGCGTGATATGGCTGAAGAAAAGGCCAGTGATATTTTGGGCTGCCACCTCAC